CCGGAAGTGCTCTGTACTGAAAAGAGTCCGAAGGAAATGCGGTGGGACGGGCACAAAGGTTCCGGAATGAAAAAAAAAAAAAAAAAGGTGACTCCGGGAGCGGAGCTTCCTGAACCGGGCTCCACCCACCCCCACATGCGTACCCGAGGCTTCCTCACCTGCAAAGAAATCTCACTCCCAATAGATGGATCCCAGTTTGCCAGGGCAGGCAGAAGTCGTTTTGCTCGCGACCTCACCCAGGTCTGCCATACAATGGATGTTCAATAAATAGTTCCTGAAGTGCCACCACAGACTCCCAGATTGCGTGTATAAAATGCAGCCAGAGCCCTAACTGGTTTGGCTCAGTGGATAGAGCGTGGGCCTGTGGACTGAAGGGTCCCAGGTTCAATTCCGGTCAAGGGCATGTACCTTGGTTGCAGGCACATCCCCAGTAGGGGGTGTGCAGGAGGCAGCTGATCGATGTTTCTCTCTCATCGATGTTTCTAACTCTCTATCCCTCTCCCTTCCTCTCTGTAAAAATAGCAATAAAATATATATATTTTTTTAAAAAATGCAGCCAGAGTGCACAGAGAGACAGCACATGACAAACATCATTCAAACAATTCTCCTGGTCTCAGAGGATGGGAGACATCTGTCGCACTGTAACGGATAACTGTGAACTGTGCCTCTGACGAGTCACAAATTACAGCTGCTAACGCACACATAGAAACAGATGTGTGCAATCATTCTTTCAATAAATATTTATTGGGTTCCTACTATGTGTGCTAGGCCAAAAAAAAGAAAAAGGAGAGAGAGAGAGAGAGAGAGAGAGAGAGAGAGAGAGAGAGAAAGAGAGAGAGAGAGAGGAAAGACAGGGTCCCTGCCCTCATAGAGAATACAATTAGTGCAAGTAGACAGACATTAATTAGAAAATGTTTTACAAATGAATCACAATGTGCACACTGCACGATCACATGAGAACACATCCAAAACAGACATAACATCCAGCTTATACACACAGACCTATAACCTAGGCCAGTGATGGCGAACCTATGACACGCGTGTCAGAGGTGACACGCGGACTCATGTTTTTGGTTGATTTTTCTTTGTTAAATGGCATTTAAATATATAAAATAAATATCAAAAATATAAATCTTTTTTTACTATGGTTGCAAATATCAAAAAATTTCTATATGTGCCACGGCACCAGAGTTAAGTTAGGGTTTTTCAAAATGCTGACACGCCGAGCTCAAAAGGTTTTCCATCACTGACCTAGGCCCTCCCAGATACGGAGGGGAATCTTCCCTCGGATCAGCTTATCAGACAGAAGCAAGCTAAGGGGACCTCAAGCACGGTCAGGGGATCTGGGTGCCCCTGGATCCTGAAACACAGAGAATGTTTGCCCTCCCATTGGGCTCCAGAACTGACCTGTGTGCCAGACTGCAGCACCTTGCACAACATCCAGCTGAAAAAGTACCCGATTCATTTTTAATAATTACTTTCAAATGGTATAACCTGAACACATGGTAGTAAAAATTCAGAAAGTACAAACAGTACAGTGAAAAGTAAGTTTCCGTCTCTCCTCAAACCCCATTTACTTTCAATAAATTCTGGATGGATTGATAACTGGTTGATAGTAATGGGGGAAAAGGGAAAACACAACATCAGATTTATGAAGCCCTAGCTCCAAGTAAGTAATAAATAAATACATAAAAGAAAATGCCACAGTTATTTGAGAACACATTTTTAAGGCTATGGGGTTAATCCTACCCAGGATAAAGTGAGGCAAATAGACAAAGGAAATGGGATGGGTCATTCAAATAAAGTCGACTTGAAATTCCACATTCCTTCCTTTTTTCCTCCTCCTCTCTTGCCCCCTCACCACTCTAGGAATCAAAATTCCATCCCCAAAGATTCAATTGCAAGTTTCAGGGCCACAGCTATGGGGGAGGGGGGGGGGCCTTCCCAGCCCTGGCTGCAGTGTGCACAGGGAAAGAACCAGAATAAGAAGGCTCTTCTAACATTCCTTTGGGACACCCCCTACAATGCTAAGTTCTCAGTACCTAGGACCCAAGCCCTTCTTAAAGGACAAAATGAAACTGTGTCCCTGTGCCCATCAGGGGGCAGCAGCCACCCACAGTGTGAAGGAGTTCTGTGCTCTAGTGGAGGATAGCAGGGCAGCTGATGCTTTTTACGTTTCTTACATTTCAGACCTGGCTCCCCATCTCAGTCTCCCAGCCTCGGCCTCAGCCCCAGCCCCTCCTCCCCATTCACATCAGGGACACCACATGGTTCTTTGATCAGGAATATTTGCTCATCCATCTACCCAGGACACATGCAGCGTTCTTTATTAAATAGCAGGCATCATGATACCCTGCACCACACCAGCAACGCCGCTTCCAGGGGAAATAAACCGCTGGCCTCTCTGTCATCCATCACTGTGCACGAGTCACGAAAGGGAGTACAGAGGCCTGGGCTGTTCTCAGCCAACCTCCCCCAAAGCCTCCTCCCTCTGGCTGCACTCCCACATCACTGCGTGCTTCTTGTCCTTAGCACTTCTCACAACTGTTATTAGTTACTTGTTCTATTGCAATTATTTCTAAGAGCAACTTTTTAAAAAATCTTCATCTGAGGATATTTTTTCCATTGATTTTTTTTTAGAGAGTGGGAGAGAGGGAGACAGGAGGGAGAGAGAGAAAAGAGATCAATATGAAAGAGACACATTGATTGCTGGCCTCACACTTGCGCGTAACTGGACAAGGATTGAACCTGCAATGTGCCTTTGACCGGGAATGGAACTCACAACTCTTCATTCCATGGGCCAACACTCTAACCACTGAGAAGACTGGCAAGAGTAACTTTTTTAAAAAATGTTAACAGACACCCAGTGGTCATTGGTGTTTGGTTTTTTTTTATTGAGTTCATAGAAGAAGAGAGAGGGAGAGAAAGATGGAAACATCAATGATGAGAGAGATCGTTGATAGGCTGCCTCCTGCACATCCCCCACTGGGGATCAAGCCTGCAATCCAGCCATGTGCCCTTGACGGGAATCGAACCTAGAACCCTTCAGTCCCCAGGCTGACACTCTATCCACTGAGCCAAGCCAGAGTCTGAGAGTAACTTTTTAATGTCTGCCTTCACCAAAAGACCTTCAACTTTTTAAGTTCAGGGCTAGCATCACCTTGTTCACCTCTCTGGCCCCAGCACCTAGCCCATTGTAAGCATTCAATAACACGTTTTAAAGAAATTGAATGAATGAAGGTAAGTTTGTCTCAGTCTCCTATAGTACTAAGAATTGGAACGGAAGGGTGCATGCATTAGGATTACCTGGGCTCCTCTGGAAAACCTGCTTTGGGTATGGGCTGAGCTATGAGGCAAAAGGGAAGGGTTGTCTCACCAAAATCTCAGCCCCTTTGTAATGTCAAGGGTAAGTCTTTGGAAAAAGTATTGGCGCTGTAGTCCCCTGCCCCGCCCCACCCCCATCTCATCAGCCCCATTCAGAGCTTCCAGACAGAAAAGCTGTGTTTGGGGGGGGGGGGGAGAAAGAGAAAGGGAGAAGGAGAGAGAGGCTGCTGACTGGGGTATATGAGGCATGGACTGCTTTGTTGGGAGATGTGTGCATGAACTGAAGAACCCTTGATGGGAAGAGTGAATGAGCCGCTGGCATGGCAAGAGGATCAGGGTGAGAAGAGATGGCAGAGAGAGTTGAATGTGGGCAGAGGCACCCAGCAAGCGCTCCTTCCATGTCACAAAGCAGCTCTGATGCTGGGGCCCTACAGCCACCAGGACACCAGTGAGAAATGCCTGTAATTAGGAAGCTGACAGTTCTCTGGGTCTCAGCCCAGAGTGACAATGCAGCAAGAATTTCTGAGTCCAGCTGAGCCAGGTGACGGAGGAGACACAGTCAGAACCAATCCAGCCCCGTCCCTCAACCATGCCTGCCCCACCCTCCTCTCGTTTTCTTCCCTAATATGACCCCTCACGCCTCCCACAAACATCACGGACTCCCTCTTGCTTCTGAGGTCCCAGGCCATGGGCGAGGAGAACAGTGCTCTAATTCTCCCCCGAGGGCACTGGACCTGATCTGCTTCCCTCTTGGCTCCCTCCCTTCCTTTCACAAATCCCCACCAGCTGATGGACAGAGTTGGAAGGAAAAGCCCCTCCTAGTTCTGTTTTTGCACTTCAAGACTAGGATGTGGGCCCCTGTAATGTGCAGGACATCTGCCAAAACACTGCCAGGTTTTCGTTTTCAAACCTAATGTATGGCTCTGTTTTAGTGTCACTGAACGTCCTCCATCTTAGTCAAATGATAAATGCATGCCACAGATCTCAGAGCCAAGTGTTCTGGGCAAGGGACGGATTACAGGGTGCTGGTGGTTTGGATGTATGCCCAGGTCTCTGCACTGTGAGTTCTGCTTTGGTGGGTAGGGTACAGCGGGGGTTTGGGGGAGACAGGCTTTCTCCAGGAAGGATCTACACCTCCAGGAGGTAAGTGCTCTACAGGGGACTAGGGTTGGGAGTCCATCCTGGAAGGGGCCTGTTGGTAGGTGGAGCCTGTGTGAATTCCTCTGAGAATGTGACAGGAAGATGGCTGGGCTCCCAGCTCAAGGTGACCAAGCCTTTGATATGTGTATCAACATTTCCACAAAGAATTTTACCAGGAATTAGTCCCGAGCCCCCTGAACACCAGGACCTGACCAAGCTCCTAGGAATGCAGACAGTCCCACCAAAGACTGTAGTTTCTGCCTCACCTGTAAGGGCCATGTTCCATCTCTGGGGGGCAAAGGGGTGGGGGCGGGGAGCCACTTTCCGGAGAGTCAAATGGTCTTCAAGGGGCTGCTCCCAGGACCCTCACTCATTCCAGCCACAGGACAAAACTCCTTGCACTTGGGAGTAAAGGTCCCTGGGGTCTGAGATGGACCCACCCCACCCAAAAGCTGCTTCTCTTCCAGGTCTGGCAGAACCACTAATGCTCTTGTCCCATCTAAGCTTGTCCAAGAAGGTCAGATCTCTCTCCTCTGAAAATATTTTATTGATAAATTAACTCTGATAGCGCTCACCCCACACACAACAGCTGCCGAGTCTCCTAGGTGGGCCATGGACCCCTTCTGTAGGGAAGGGTCATGTGGAGAACTGGGAGTGTCACTCACGCGGGGGTGGGATTCCTGGGCATGGCAGAGGTGGGTATGGGGGCCGAGGACCATCCTGAGGTCTTCTGAGGATAGCCCCTCTCACTCAATACCAGAGTGGGCCGCGGCGGTCAGGGATGGAGCACCTTGGAGCTTTATTGCTGGTGAATGCCAAGGAAAGCGGGGACCCCTGCCAGGCTAGAATGGCAGCTGAGGGCATCAGCGCCCAGGGCTCCAGAGGAGGTGGCACTAATTCCCAATCAACAGAGCCTGGCTGCTGACCCGCCCACCCAGGAGCCCCTGGATGGGGGAGGAAGCAGGGCGAGGTATCCGAGCCAGGCCGGATGAGGGGAGGGTTACAGTGTGCCGGTCTTGGGCAGAGCTGCCGCCAGGAGGGGGCGTGTGGCCGGCACCAAGGGGGCGTCCTCTTCACAGGTCTATGGTGTCGCTGCCCATGCTCAGCTCGTCGATCTGTCGGCAGGCGTCCAGGAATTGCTCCTGCAGCAAGGCCTCTTCGGCCTGCAGCGCACAAGCAGGCTCTGGGGAGTCGCGGGAGGACGGGGACAGGGCCTGGTAGGATCCTGAGGCTGGGAGGTTGGGGCTGCTTCCCGAGGGCCGCGGGGGGCTGAGGACGCAGACCAGCGGGCAGCGCGGGGGCCGGTCGGGGCTGGCGCAGAGCAGCATGGACGAGCTGTCCCGGGAGAGTCCGCACAGCGAGCCTGAAGAGGCGCTACTGCCCGCGGGCCAGGCCCCGGGAGAGGAAAGGCCCGG